ATTTTGATTCATGCGAGATTGTTCTGTCTTCTTGATACTTTGACTCTTGTATTATATTGAAAGTGCCATGGGCTGCCAAAAGAACCAATAGATCTGTTTTGGAAGAAGTGCAGCCAGAGTGCTCCTTAGAGGCCAAGAGGGCCAAACTTCGTCTCTCATACTTTGGACATATTGTCAGGAAGGAGCAGTCATTGGAGAAGGATATCATGCTTGGTAAGTTGGAGGGTCAGAGAAAAAGAGGAAAAACCCCAATGAGATGGATTGGCCAGGTGGCAGCATTGATGGACTCAAGTGTGGCAGCGGTAGTGAGGTTGGTCCAGGATTGGACATTGTTTTGTTCTGCTGTGCATGGGGTCGCTATGAGTCGGTTCTGACTCGATGGCACCTAACAACAACAGAAATAATGATTTTGAATGGAATACAAATTGGAATCTTTCAACAAACTGATGTAGCACAGGAGACATACACTCATCTATGCCACGAAATTTGGGAGACAACTACCTGGCTAACTGACTGGGAGAGATCCATATTTGTGTCCATTCCAAAGATAGGTGACCTAATGGAATATGGAAATCATCGTACAATATCATTAATATCACATGCAGATAAAAGTTTACTAAAGATGATACAAAAACACCTGCATCCACACATTGACAGAGAATTTCCAGAGGTCCAAACCAGATTCAGAGGAGGATGTAGAATAAGGGATATCATTGCTGATATCAGATGGATCTTGACTGAAAGCAGAGAATACCAGAAAGGTGTTACTTGTGCTTTATTGACTATGCAAAGGCTTTCAATTATGTAGATCATGACAAGCTATGGACAACATTGCGAAGTATGAGTATTCTGGAACACTTAATTGTGCTCATGAGGAACCTGTACACAGACCAGGAACGTAACCATTCAAACGGAACAAGGGAGCACTGAATGGTTTTAAATTAGGAAAGATGTGCACCAGGGTTGTATTCTTTCACCATACTTATTCAGTCTTCATGCTGAGCGAATAAACCAAGAAGCTGGAGTCTATAAAAAAGGACATGGCATCAGGATTGGAGGAAGAGACTCATTAACAACCTGCGATATGCAGATGATACAGCCTTGCTTGCTGAAAGCAAAGAGGACTTAAAATACTGATGAAGATCAAAGACCACAGCCTTCAATAGGGGTTGTATCTCATTGTAAAGCAAACAAATCCTCACCACTGGACCAATAAGCAACATCCATATAAATGGAGAAAAGATTGAAGATGTCAGTGACTTCATTTTGCTTGTCACAATCATCAACATTCAAGGAAGCAGCAGTCAAGAAATCAAATGACATATTGCATTGGGCAAATCTGTTGCACAAGACCTCTTTAAAATGTTGAAGAGCAAAGATGTCAGCTTGAGGACTAAGGTGCACCTGACCCAAGTCATGGTATTTTCAGTTACCTCATATGCATGTGAAAGTTGGACAGTGAATAAAGAAGATAATAGAAGAATTGATGCATCTGAGTCACGGTGTTGGAGGAGAATATTAAAAGTACCACATGGACTGCCGAAAGAACAAACCAGTCTGTGTTCGAAGAAATACAGACAGGATGCTCCTTAGAAGCCAGGATGGCCAGATTTTGTCTTTCATACTTAAGACATATTATCAGAAAAGACCAGTCCTTGGAGAAGGATATCATGTTTGGTAAAGTGGAGGGTCAGCGACAAAAGGAAGATCTCAGGGAGATGGAATGGCACAGTGACAGTAGGAATGGGCTCAAATGTAGCAACAGTTGTGAGGTTGCACAGGACTGTACAGTGTTTCTGTTGATGGTGCAAAGGGTCACTGTGAGTTGGTACTTACTCAGTGGCACCTAACAACAATAACATTATTATGAAATGTCACTTTTTATCTCAGGTAATATTCTTGTTTTGAAGTGTATTTTATTTGATACTAAATGGCCCTCCAACTTCCTTTCATTAGGGTTTGCATAGTTCTTTTTCCTTCCTTTTATTTGTAATTTCTCTGTTTCTCTAAATTTAAAGTAGATTTTATGTGCTATTTTCCTTTCTTTGCGTAGATCTAGCTTCCACGTGTCATTTTTTTTCTGTTCATCCAAAGAACTAGCTTTAAAATTTCTTGGAGTATATGTCTACTGAAAACAATTTCAATTTATATTGGTCTTAAAATTTTTTTACTTTGTCTTCATATTTGAAGCATAGTTTTATTGGCTATAGAATTCCAGAATGACAGAATTTTTTTGTAATACTTCAAGTTTGATGTGTCGTCATTTTCTAAGGTTATCTGGTAGTGGTTATGAGTTGGGTTCTAATCTTGAGGTCAGCGGTTTGAAACTACCAGCTGACTCTATGGCATACCACCATCACCACCACCACCACCACCACCACCACCACCACCACTACCACCACCACCACCACTTTCTGGAGTGTATACTCTTTGACACAAAGTCTGCAATTTTTCTTATCTTCATTTTTCCTTTTATGTTGTATATATAAGTGGACTTAAAAATGGTGATTGAAAAATTCTATTATCTTTTCATTCCATTTTCTCGCTAATTTTTTGAAGTCCCCTGTTCCCCCCCATCTCCCCCCCGGAATTATATTTATTGTTCTTACATGCTGTCTAGTCAGTTTACACTCATAGTAAGCCTGAGTAGAATTTTTTTTTTTTTTCTTTTTATTTCCATTAGTTCTATTGTGTTGTCACCTGTATGGTTTCTTATGTGTGTTGTTTGGGTCTTCTTCTGTACTTTTGTTAGATTTTCCAGTTGTTTATCAATTTTATTAATCCTTTCAAAGAACCAGCTTGACTTGCTGATTGTTTCTATTGTTTTTTTCTGTTTTCTAATTCATGTATTTCTTTTCTAATATTATTTGTTTTCTTCTGATGACTGTAAGGTTACTTTTCTGATATTTTCTCTAATTGTTGAAGATGTTATGCTAATATGTTGATTTTTCTTCTTCTTTTCAGTTGTGTGCATTAATTGATATAAATTGCCCTCTCAGCACTGCTTTTGCTGTTTGAGAAAGGTTTTGCTGTGCTATGTTTTTGTTCTAATTTGTTTCAAGGAAATTTTTAATGTCTTTTTAAATTGGTTCTGTTACCCAATAGGAGTCTTGGTGTGACACTGTGGGTTAATGTGCTGGCTGGACTACAAGGTTGCTTTGAACTGCAAGGTTGGCAGTTCAAGCTCACCAGCCACTCCTCAGAAACCCTATACAGTGTCGCTGTGAGTCAGAACCAACTTGACAGGACATTATAACAACAACATTATCCAATAGCATTTAAGCAGAGTGTTATTCAGTTTCTATGTATTGGGTTTTGTTTCCTTCATCTTCTTATTGTTGATTTCCAGTTTTATAGCATTATGATTTAAGGAGGTTCTTTTGTAGTATTTTGATGTTTTTGAATGTATTGAGACTTGCTTTGTGGGCTAACACATTCTTGAGAATGTTCCATGTGAACTGGAAAATAATTTGTACTGTGCTGTTATTGAGTTGTGTGCTCTGTGTAAACCTATGAGATAAAGTTGATTGATTGTGTTGCTAGTTCCTCTGTGTCTTTGTTGAGTTTCTTTCTGGTTGCTCTGTATTTTTTAGAAAGTGGTGTATTAATCTTCCACTACGTATGGCACTGTGGATTAGTGTGTTGGTCTGCAAGTTTGCTTTGAACTGCAAGGTTGGTGGTTCAAGCTCACAGTCACTCATTGGAAACCCTATACAGGGTCACTGTGTCAGTACCTACTCAATGGCACTTAACAACAACAACAACAACATTGTTATAGAGTTGTCTTTTTTTCTCCAATTCTGTTAGAGTTTGATTTATATATTTTGCTGGTCTTTCATTGGGCGCATAGATACTTATTGTTATGTCCTTATTTTTATCTTATGCTGCTTTTTGCCTTAAAACTTGTTTTTTAAAAATTTTTTATTGTGAATTACGTGATAGTTTACATGGGAGAGCATTAGCGTTATATTCATCCTCTAGTATTTCGTTTCATTGCAATGATTACAGTCCCCTCCTTGCATCATCAAATAACCAAAGGGTTAGTTGATGATGCCTGCCCCCTGGATGTCAGCACATAGCCCGTCTCCCTCCATGAGTTTAGAGTCCCCAGCTGCTCCATCTCTCCACGTCATCATCTCTTCCTCTATCTCTGGCCTCATTGCTGCTATAGGTAGGGTCCTGCGCTCCACTCTTCTCCCTTCATTTTTCCTTTTATGATGCATAGATGAGACTTTCTGCCCCTGTAAAGATTTACAGCCATGGAAACCCTGTACAGGATCTCTATGATTCGGAACTAACTCCACGGCCCGTAACAACAGCAACAGTATGCCAAAGGGCAGTACCAATAACCAGTGCCTTAGATGAAAGCAATCTTCTCAAACCAGGACTTATTTACCAATTTTTAATGCTTCATAGACTGGGAATTCTATAAATTCAATAGAAGCGAATTACTAGAAAAATGGGTGTTCAAAGTTGTACAAAAGAAAAGTCTAAATAGTATTATATAAACAGATGTATTATAATGGTTTCAAATTGATACACACTCTTCTATGTGAATACTTTTGATTTCTGTACTTTTTGCAGACACAGAACAGAGTTCATGGACTAGTGTGTGCTGGACTTAGGTCACACGTCGAAGTCCATAGAGCACAACATGTCAGCGGTCCTGTATTAAGTAAATGGGCACTTGTGCCATGGGAATTAGGTTTGGATTACATAGGGCCTCATTTGCTGGAATAAATTTATTCTGTAGGTATTGGGGAACTAGTGAATTGTTGGCAAGGGTTGTCTCAACCATAGCTATAGAAGCTTCTTTTGGCAACATCATCATACATGAAGAATTGAGAGTGATAATGAGTTAAAGAGCAGACTGGGTAGAATGAAACAAAAACTCCATCAAATTTCTAGAGACCTCTAGAAGTTCTAACAATCTCTTTGGAGGGTACAAGTATTTAAGCTAACTGAAAATAGATAAGGTTATTTATTTTATATATTTTCAGAAACCACACAGATAGAAGATCCAAGAAAACAATGGAGAGGAGAACAGGAGAAAATGCTCAAGGACTATCTCTCAGTGGCTCAGGATGCACTCAGGACACAGAAGGAACTGTACCATGTGAAGGAACAAAGACTGGCTTTGGCCCTGGATGAATATGTACGATTAAATGATGCTTACAAGGAAAAATCCAGTTCTCGCACAAGCTGTAAGTACAGTGAATACAGTGTTGTTATTCAGACTTGTAAAATAGGGTCCTGTTTGTAGACAATAGAATCCCACATGCATTTCTCTGGAGTTTAATTTTGAGGCCTTTTCCATTCTAAGTTGGAAGCATCACTCAGAGAGGGTGGTGACATACAGCTGATTTCTCAGTCAAATCCCTCACCTCTTTTCTCAATATTAAGTTCTCACTATTTGGGGATATGTATACTATTTGTCCTGCTGTTTCCTTTGATTGACTGCCTTTTATTCATTGATGAGATAACTCTTACCTCCTGAGGACAAGACAGGTAATTTGTCATTTCTTACTATACTTTTACAGTATTTTTAAGGAAGAACTGGGCTATTAACTAGTATGAAGTTTCTGTTTACTACCTGAGTTGTAAATAGACAATCTTCAAACTGATGATGTTTGAAGACGATGTTATAATGGACCAAGAAATTCTACTTAAATTATGTGTGTCTGGATAATTCACTGTATTGCCTTAATACACTGTATCTGTGACATGGGCCTCCAGGGACGTAGGTATAAAGTCCAGAAGAAACTTAACCACCATGTCTTCATGATATTCCTCTTTCCTCTGACATTTTAAGCAAATTACAGAGGTCTGAAGTCTACTTTTTATATATAAGGATCTGATGAATGACAATAAAGGAATTTAAAAAAGAAAATGAATATCCACAAAGCATATAAATTTTATTGGTTTTAAAGAAAATGAATATCTACAAAACATATAAATCTTGTTGGTTTTAAATTGGTAAATTCAAAGAACTATTTATGCAACTGAGGACAGTTACTTTAATTTTTTTTTTTTTCTCTCTTTAAAAGTATTCTCAGGATCTTCTTCCAGTACTAAATATGATCCCGATATTTTAAAAGCAGAGATCTCCACTACACGGTTAAGGGTAAGAATATTTTATCTTGGTTCTGCATTGAATATATACATAGACTCTGAAGGCTACTATTGTTGTTGTTAGGTACCAAGCGGTACTGACCCATAGCGACCTTATGCACAGCAGAACGAAACACTGCCTGATCCTAGGCCAACCTCACTACTGTTGCCATGCTTGAGTCCATCAATGCTGCCGTTTGGCCAATCCATCTCGTTGGGGTCTTCCTCTTTTTTTCTGACCCTCCACCTTACCAAACATGATATCCTTCTCCAGTGAGTGGTCCCTCCTGACAATATGTCCAAAGTATGAGTGACGAAGTTTGGCCATCTTGGCCTCCAAGGATCACTTTGGCTGCTGAAGGCCGTATGTAGAAGGGGCTTTAATGGTCATCTCCTGTCTCCATTCAATGCACAAAGCTCTTCCACTAGTCTCTGCTGGTGGCCTTTGTACCTTTGAACATATTTAGTGATTGGGATTGCATTTATTATTGAGATATGCTCCATTGTTTGGCAACTTATCTTAAGAGCAGTTAGTATATTGATTCAAAATTTAAGTCTTGATAATTACTTTCCCTTGTTGGACTGAATTACATGCTCTAGTTTCCGAGGTGAACTTTAATTTTTACTCTTTCATCAGACTACCCAAAATTTAAAGATGCCCTCAACTCGTGTTACCAGGCCAGTCCTTTTCTAGATCAAGCTTTACTAATTCCTTATTGTTGCTCATGTGGGGTTTCCTGATCCTTACCCTCAATCTTGTTGGCTAAATTTCTTTTAAGGTTAGAACTTATTTATCCTTGATTTTTAGTTCTAAAAGTAAATAAAATCATGTAACCAGTACCTAAATCATGCAACATTATTACTTTGTTGTTGTTGTAAAGTGCTGTCCATTTTGTTCCGATTCGTAGTGATCCAGTGTAGGGTTTCCAAGACTGTACATCTTCGTGGGAGTAGAAAGCCTCATCTTTATCTTGTGGTGCGATTGATGTACTCGAACTACTGACCTGTGCTTAGCAGTGGAGTGCTGTATTGTACAGAGCCAGCACGCTCCCCAGATTATGCCTGTGACCTTTCAAATTACTGTTAAATCCTTTTAGTCATATCCCTCATCATTACCTCTCTAAAGCTAACACTAGCTTCACGAAAACAATTCATTTCTTGCCTGCTTTGAACTTGGTAACTAAACTGGCATCATTATTTGATACCTGATTTTTTTGCTCAACATATGGGGATTCATCCACAATCACTTTTATCTCTATATAGTATTTCCACTTTTATCTACATACCCTAAATTCTTTATACTCTTCCTTTTTAAAGTTTTTGTTTTGAATTGACTGAATGTTTACAGGGCAGATCATCAGTTTTACATTCAACAAATCATATACTTTGTTTCATTACAATGCTTATAATCCTCACCATGTACCATCAATAAAGAGCAGGATTTCCCTCTATTCATTTTAGCTCCTTTTTTATTTCAAAACACTTAGGCATATATGATAATTTACACCACCAAACAGCACATTCTGCAAGTCTGCCTCCTGGCTGCCAGCTCTCAACCCTTCTCTTCCCATGAATCTAGAGTCCTCAGCTGCTCCCTCTCTCCATGTGTCCATCTCTGCCTCCACCTCTGGTGTTGCTGCTTCTCTGTTTAAGGTCCCGCATTCCGCTTGTGCTCTTCTACCTTGATGGTCCTAGGGCCCTTTGTTTCTGTGCTGTAAGATTAACTACTGCTCCGTTTTTGTTACAGAACTTCTACCTTTACAATTGTGATAGTTGCAATTAGTCATGCTAACGATTTACTCCCTATTGAATCATAAGAATCTTATCCCCATTTCTTTTTACCAGATACGTCTAGACAAGGTGAAATCTATTCAGTGTGGGGACTCTATTCCCGCCACCCTCCACACACACTCTTAAATGAAACTCCCCTTTGAAACCTTGTAAGCCAGTGACTTTGTGCCTTTGTCACCCCCTCATTTTAGGTAGCCTGTGTCTAAGTTGCCCTATTCTTTAAACTCTTGTTGTACATTAGTTTTACTGTTCTGTTGATACAGTTTAATAGCCAATTTCTAGTAAGTAAATATTATGCCTTTATCTACATATATGTTGGTACAAATATATATACATTTTTGTCAGAGTGTAATTGCTGTGTCAGTAGGTATGCAGTGTCAACAGGTAAAGTATAAACTTAGGGGCTATTGCCAAACGTTTCAGCTCTTCTTAGTTTTTACTATGTACACTTAGAGTCTGAACTGCTTTCTGCTTATGACATTATCCTATAGCACACAAGTTTTAATATTTTATATTTTCATTATCATTTTGTTAAAAATATTTTTTAAATTCCTTTGTGCTTTCTCATGAGTATATTGCTTAATTTTTAAAGAGTTAGAGATTTTCAAGTTTTTTTTTTCCGGTCTAGCTTAATTCCATGGGGTAATACTTAATTCTAGAATTTCTGTTTGAGTTGTTATTGTTTCCAGTTAACCCGCCAAAATTCTGTACATCGATATATTTATTGAACAAAAGGATCATTTTGTTGTTGTTGTTAAATGCTGTCAAATCAGTCCCAACTCATAATGACAATGTTTAAGGTTTCTGAGGAACAGCTAGTGGGTTTAAGCCACTGACCTATGATTGGCCATCCATTGCTAATCCTACTTTTAATTTTAAAAGTCATTTTAAATTTACATGTTTTGATTGATATAATATCTAGATTACCAATATGCTAGGTTTTTAAATCTGTTTTTCTCTTGGATATCATTTATTATTTAACTTTATAGCATTTTATATTTTATTAAGTACCATAATTATATATGAACTAGTATAAAGAAAATGTGAGGCTCTAGAAAATCTTATCATCCTTCATAAAGGATTTACTACTGCTACTTTAGATTCTTTGTATGGCATTGTGGAATAATTGGCTGGACAACAGAGTCTGTTTGAAGCACAAGGTCAGTGGTTCAAATTCACCAGCTGCTCCTCGGAAATCCTATACAGGTTTACTATGAGTCAGAACCGACTCCATGACGACACGTAAAAACAACTGCTACTTTTGGACTGTTAGGCAAAGGGCAGATTTTATTATATTAATCCAGTTAGGGTTTGAGCTGACTAAAATCTGGACTTGGCCTTTTCTAAGGGCCAGTCTGTTTCTTCTAGGGTAAAGCGCCTTAAAATCCCAGTTGAACTTGACTTGTTTTCCTGGGGCTGCTTGTATAGTATGGGTCCTAAGCTCCAAATCTCATCTGCCCCCACCTACTTCTGTGGGACTTTCAGGAGTTCCCTTTATCGCAGCATCTCAGCCACTGTGTTTCGCCCAGATTTCCAGTTTCTCTGATGGACTAGTAGATGCCTCAAAAGGAAAAGCAGTGGCAAGACTATAGGCTTCCCTTATCTTTTGAATCTTGCTTTCTTGGTAGTTCAACAGTGCCTTCAAATAGTTCCTTTTTCTCTCCCTACAAGTTTTCTATTTATTTTCCAAACAAGAAAATGAGAGAATTCTGCAAACAATTTCTGTAAAGAAGCTGCATTTCTCTTTAACGTGGCCTTATGGGTTTAATTTTTGAAGTCATTGATGCCAATACTTTGTGCCATTGTACATTGAACTCCCCCCCCCCCCCGAGGCTATCCTGAACCCTGTACTCTGTCAATCTATGTATATATTGCTAAAGAGTATCATGAGTATCATATGATGGTTTGTTCTGTGCTTTCTTCTTTTTCGCTATACCAAACCTACACATTTCTGTGATCTATTAAGCTACATACATAGCATATCTAAAAAGAAAATGAAAATATTTTGTCAAAAGTTACTGTTAATAAGCCCCTGTAGTAACTTGATAATAAATTTTAAGGAAGTTATTTTTATTGCCTTTTGAATTCTGTTTAATCATTCTTCAGAATCCTTATCCTGGTAAGACACTTTTTAAACGAAATAATCACAGTAGGCTGAGTTAGTCTATCTGTTCCTGTTCTTTCTTAGGAAAGGTACAAACTCTGGGAGGACCTTAAAAACAAAAACATATTGGACTATCTCATGCTAATAGCATTTAGAAGAAAATGGCGTTCCATTCAATCAGGATGTCAGAAGAGATCCCAAGTGTCCACAGCCCCCTAAGATAACAGTAGCATCTCTTATACACAGCTTATTTTAGGTCAAGTTTAACTTGCTGTTAATATTACAGACTTGTATTACATTTATTCATTTATGTGTTCAGCATTATGGAACCAAAAAGATGAGTCAGACATATGTTGCTGTTGTTAGGTGGTACCATTGAGCCGGTACCGACTCATAGCCATTCTATGAACAACAGAACAAAATACTGCCCGATCCTGGGCGAATAGCACAGTTGTTGCTACATTTGAGCCCATTGATGCTTGCCACTGTGCCAGTCCACCAATGCATCTCATTTGGGATTGTGCTCTTTTTCTTCGACCCTCCACTTTACCAAACATTATATCCTTCTCTAGAGACTGGTCCCTCCTGACAATATGTCCAAAGGGTGAAAAACGAAGCCTGGCCATTCTGGCTTCCAAGGAGCACTCTGGCTGTACTTTTTCCAACGCAGATCTGTTTGTTCTTTTGGCAGTTCATGGTACTTTCAACATTCTTCTCCAACACTATAACTCAAATGCACCATATCTTCTTTGGCCTTCTTTATTCGCTAACCAATTTTCACAAGCATGTGAGATTATTGAAAATACCGTGGCTTGCATCAGGCACACCTTAGTCCTCAAGCTGACATTTTCACTCTTCAACACTTTAAAGAAGGTCTTGTGCAGCAGATTTGCCCAGTGCAATACGTCATTTGATTTCTTGACTGCTATTTCCATGAGGAGCTTTGGTAGTGTAGTGGTTATGAATTGGCTGTTAACCTCAATGTCAGTAGTTCGAAACTACCAGCTGTTCTGCGGGAGAAAGATGAGGCTTTCTGCTCCCGTAAAGATTTGCAGCCTCAAAAACCCTGGGCAGGGTCACTATGAGTTGGCACTGACTCCACCACGGTACTCAACAAC